TAGAAATTGGAACACGTAGGTGGATGTTGGTATATCTCATCTCCTGGCCCATTAATTGGATCCTTGGCAGCCGATAAATACTATTTCATTGCGTCATGACTTCTTATCTTGTATGGAATATGGTCACCTGCGCATCATTTATATTAAATGTACAGTTGTCTACCAGATGCCCAGAGCTGTGCATGTGATTCTCTGTCTATTTTATATATACATAATATATATATATGTTATATATATATACACACACACACACACACACACACACACGTACGTACAAACACACACACAGATGGTCGTGCGCTGAATCACATTTTGGTCAGTGATGGGCCACGTATATGATGGTGGTCCCATAAGAATATAATGGAGCTGAAAAATTCCTATCACCTACTGATGTCATAGCCATCGTAAAGTTGTAGTGCAATTACTTAATTTTTAAAATAAATTTAGTGTAGGCTGAGTGTACAGTGTTTATAAGGTCTACAGTAGTGCATAGTAATGTCCTAAGCCTTCACACTCAACATTCACTCACTGACTCACCCAAAGCAACTTCCAATCCTGCAAGCTCCATTCACGGCAGGTGCCCTATGCAAATGTACCATTTTTTATCTTTTATATCATATTTTTACTGTACCTTTTCTATGTTCAGATATGTTTAGACATACAAATACTTATCATTGTGTTATAATATTCTGTGGTGTTCAGTACAATAACACGCCATACAGGTTCATAGCCTAGGAGCAATAGGCTACACCATATAGCCTAGGTATGTAGTAGGCTATATACCATCTAGGTTTGTGTAAGTGTACTTTGCAATGTTTGCATAATGACAAAATCACCTAATGATGCATTTCTCAGAATGTATCCACATAGTTAAGCAATGCATGACTGTGTGATGACTGTGTTGTTGTGTATGTATGTGTGATTCTATCCAATATATAAAAATGGTTGTGTCTGTGGCTGTATATCATGGCATACATACAGTTGGGATCAGAGGCAGATTTGCTTGGGAAGGTTTTACGGAAGAAGTGAGTTTTGGGTAGAGTTCCAAAGGGAGGGTAAGTAACGTACTTTGGCAGAAAGAAGCATATATAAAGCTTCCAAGGCTGGAGTGATCAAGTCATGTGCATTCATGGGTAAGCATGAACCATTTGAGAGCAGATTGTAAATTAGTGGTTAAAAATAGCCAGACTAAAAGTGAAGAGGAGGCAAGGGGGCGAGTGCAAGGCAGAGCAGCGGAGTGCAGAGTGGCGTGTAGGAGCTTCTCTACTCTGAGTTGCTGGTGAAGTTTGCCCTGGGATACCAGCACGTCTGACCGTGTTGCCATCTAGTGGAACTGGCTGAAATGCATGGGGAGAGCGCCACCACCGTTTCTTACTTCAGGGTAAGTTATAGCGCGATAATCATGGCAGTGGGAAACTCACTCCTCTTTTCCCTAGGGCTTTTAAATGAAAAATTAGGGAGAGGAGATGGATGTAACTGTGCTCAACCCAAATGATATTAATTTAGCCTTTAGAAATATGGAGCTGAATGCCAATATAAAGAACTTCTCTTAGACATTTGGAGGCCATGATAGAGCACTGGGTGTACATGACCCATCAGCTCAGGGCACGGAGCTTGCAGGAAGCAGCACTTGAGAAGTTCTGCAGCAGAGGGAAAGCATACCACGGCTGGCCCTGAGCCGTCTATGTTTTCATGTGCGTCGCTTGCTTTTTCATGTGGTTCAGAGTCCATCCTGAGAGCCTAAGACACTGTAGAGGTTCGTACACCTTCTGCCCTCCCTTCCGCCCATCCATGCCTGTATCTATTTAGTGAATACTTACTGAATTCCTGTTATGTACCAGGCACTTCTAGGTAGCAGAGACACAGCAGTGAGCAAAGCAGAAGGAAATCCCTGTTCTTGGACAGCTGACATTCTGGCTGGGGGAGACATACAATCAATAAAATTAATAAGTAAAATGTATGTAAGTGGAATATTATGTGCTAAGAAGGATATAAATAAATAAGTAAATAAAGCCAAAGAAGGAAATAGGGATTGTTGGGGGTGGGGGTGGAGGGGGGTGGTTGCAACTGTGAGTAAATCCTCACTGAGATTGTGATATTAACTCACCTGAGAGGTATGAGGAAGCCATTTGTGGATATCCTGGGGAAGAACATTCCAGGTAGAGGGCAAGAAGCTGCAAAGGCCCTGAGGTGAGAATGGCCTGGTGTGTTCCAGAAACAGGAAAGAGGCTGGGGAGAGGTGGAGAGAAAAGTCAGAGATGGGGAGGAGCGAGATTAGGTGGGGCCTGTGGGCAGTTGTAATGAATTTGACTTGTACTGAGAAGCATTGATCTAGTCTAATCTTCTAATTTTACAAATACAACTTAGGCCAGAGAAATCAAGCCAGGGGTCCGTGGTCATCTAGCCTTGTAGTGCCAGAGCTGGGATGATAACCAGCCTCCTAATGCCAGCTTTTTCCCACCAGCCTGCTTGTCCGGGTGGGGATGCAGGACCACACACAGGCTCAGACTTCCAAGTGCAATGGTCTCAAAGGAAGCAAAGTGCCATGGGCTCCTCCAGCAGCTGTGTTTCAACACGCTTCATCTTGGTCATTCCCCTAGTGTGTCCCTACCTGCCTATAGAGTCCCCACAGCAAACACCAGAAAGGATCAGACCTCTTATCTTAAAGGAATACCTGCCCAATATTGCCTTCCTTTGTTTTGGTATGAAGATAAATCCTTTGGGTTTTCCAAATGGTACTCTGCCCATCAGCTGTTAAGCCCAAGAACCTAGTCTCATAAAGCCCTCCCCTATTCCTTATCTGTGTTCATTTTAAAGTTATTTGTATATAGTTAACATAAGATAAAATTTCTGCATTCCCAAGGTGTTTGATTCCAGTTCCTAGTATCACCATGAAAGTTAGTAAGATTGAGTTTTAAGTTATTTTAAATTAATTTGAAAACAGAATTATCAGGTGAGGAGAGAGTACAAACTCATTTTCACCAAATATAGCTTAATCTGGACAAATTTTGCCCAATACTATTTGTCTTACTTTACTTTGAACCATCTCTTTTTTCCCCTTTCATCTCCTTTAGATCTTATGACCACTGTCCTCTGGACACAGACCAAATCCTCTAAATAACACTTTCTGATGAAGGTCAGGCCCGTGCTAAGTATAGAAGAAAATGACTTTGTGCTGTCACCTGCATTGTCTCCTCTTATTTAATCATCTCATGGCCTGTGTCCATTTGTCAAAGTGACAGGAAGTATTTGAATCTTGTGGAGGGAACACACCCCAAACTCTTTTGCCTCCTTCTTTCCCTTCCTCTTAAAGCAGAGCCCCATTATAGGTAACCTGAGATTTATATCATCATCATGTCTTGCATTTATATTTGTTTGTATAGCACTTTTTTTGCTAGCTGTGGTGGCTTCATATGTTCATTTGTATATGATGTCAATAAATGAGCTCTGAAATCCTACCAACTTGAACCATTTAGGGTTAGCATTGATTTGTA